GTATTCAATTCAGATCATATTAAATTGTTTACCTTTTATCATATGATAAGTCCCTGGATAAAAATTTCTAGATGGTCTTTTGAAGATCAAGAAACCCAGTGATATATTCGTGATCATCACATCACATGATTAACCATTCGGCCTAAGTTAGGGTTAGTGTGTGACAGCATAGCACAGAAATATATTATCATACTTTAGTTTTTTTTATATATATTTCGATTCTTATTACTTTATATATTGAAAACCTGAAACTAGCAAATGCATATGTAGACGGCCTTGCCGCAAGTTTTATGGTTGAGAAGCTGAATTTAGATTTAATTTAAATATATTAAGTTATCCTCTAGTCTTATTTTGATGATCGTTATAGTGGAGTGATTGATTTTAATGAATAAAATTTTTGGGCAGTGTAGTTATTTCAAAACATTAGTGGAATAATGTAGTGAAAAATCGCTTATCTTTTAATGCTTGAAAATAAAGTATCAAAATTTTGACGCGATACCCAAAGTATCCAATGATTTTTTGCGTCTTTCATATCAATTTTCGAAAGACTCGTATATCTTGACTATTTTCGTCTTCAGAATTCAAAGTATTCAGTTGTTCCTTATATTTTCTTTACTTCTTTTAATTTCGATCTTATTCTATGCTTTAATCTTTATAAATTTCCAGTTTCCGTTTTCCTGTCAAATTTTTTTATATTAACGTTTATAATTTTGAGTTAATGGAGTTAATAATTATTTATATAATTGCTTGCCCAAGCATTTTGGGCTGACGGCACTCCAAAATTTTGTATTTTCAGTGGCTTGACTATTTCATTTTAATCCGCCACAGTAAATAAGTTTTACTTTTTTTTATTCATTCCCCCATGTTTTAGTTTTTCTCTTTCTATTAATTTTTGTATTTCGTAGCATCTTTTACATTCATTTTGTCTTATACTAAAAATAAAACCGCATTTACTACATTTTTGCTTGTGCTTTTTGCAATTAGATTTAAAACATATGTCGCAATGGTGAATTTTTTCTGGGGTGGCATTAAAAATCGCCTAAAAAAATAATAATCATAACTAATTTATAACAAGTGGAGCTGTAAGGTCAAATCTCTAATTTGGTATTAAATTCTTGAAATTCAGAAAATATTAGAACTTGCTTTATTATATTTTTTTCGCTCATGTCCTTTTAATTTATTGAACCAAATCAATAATAATAATTATTTTTATCAAAATCTGGCTAAATCAGTTAATAATTAAATAAAACAAATAGGAAAAGAATATTATTTAATTTGAATTATTAGGATTGTATTTAATAATAGATAATTTAATAATAGATAATTTAATTAAAAATTTTCAATTAAAAGGATGCGAACTATAAACTATTGATTAATATAAATAAACAGATTAGTTTATTGTAAAGTAACTTATTTGTATGTATTGTAATTCACAGTTCCAATCTATATCTTGAGCTGTAAAAATTTTTTAATTTGGGAAGGCAATATAAGGAGATTTTTATAATTTTAGGCAAATTATAAATAAGCTCAGACAAAATTAAGGCAATATCATTTATAAAATACTTTACCATTTTCTTAAAACCTTCGATCAATAAATTTGGAAATTAATATATTCGTAAACTAATAGTTACTATAAATTGTAGTTTCTAAAAAACTATTAGTTTGTATTATTTTAGGACTTATATGAAATTACTTTAGTCTGAATTTATTTAAGAAATCATCTATTTTCCATACTTCTTGGCTAAACACTGTGGAATAAAATTCATTTTTTTCTTCATCTATATTGTCCATTATTCGTATAAAATCAGGGAACAACGAGACATTTCACTTCGAAAAAATTTTTGTAATATTATATTTTCTCTAGACTTTTTGTTATTTTGTTCTATCATAGGATTGTTAGTTATCCATACTGGATAAGTAGATAAACACTCCACTGGAAACGCACCAGAACATTCCCAGTCTATGACTCCCGTTATTTCATCATTCTTGACAAGAATGTTTGATGTGTGAAAGTCTGCATGCGTTAATACAAATGTGTCATTTCCATCATCCTGAAAATATTTTGGTACTAATTGATATAGTTCTTCATATTTTGGAATCAAACACTTTTGCTTTTTTGTAGATTTAAACATGCTATAGTAATGTATCTGATTTCGAATAACTGCTAAGATATATTCCTTTGTTGTTTTGAAAGGACCCATTCCATAGTGGGTAAAGTTGCCCGCTCACCAGTAAAGAAGATACTTTCAATCACTTGACCAAGTTTAAATTGATCATTTTTACCATCGAAAAATTACTACCAATTTTTGAAAACGTAAGTTTTTTAAGTTCCAATTGAATGTCTATAATTTTTAAAAGAAATAACTTCTTTCTTTTTATGTTGAGATTACTCCATATATCACAAAGACGAATACCAGGTAAATACTCCATTAAAATATATTCTGTTCCTACCGGATTATTAACAGAACTATTCCAATAATAAACTTTGGGAACAGGAATATGCGTATTTAAACGAATATACTCCATAACTGCCACCTCACTTTCTGTCTTCCATTGTGAATATACAGGAAATGCTACTCTTCCAATATATTCATTACCATCTTCCATCTTTAAGATGTATACTTTATGAAAACCACCTTCACTAAATTCTTGTATAGAGGTACATTGTATATGAAATACATTTGATGCAGACTTTTGTAAAGCATCCAAATTAATATTTAGTTTGGTAGAATCTTCTGAATCGCTTTCTGTACTTTCTTAACTTTGATGATTAGGAGAATTATTGGACATCTTACAAAGTATAAAATAATATACAATTTGTGAATCTTATATTTAATTATTTTTAATTCATACACGCCATAATTGTATTGTTATATATATTAAATTTAATTAACTTTAATTATGTATTAAATTCAATTAACTTTAATTATGTATTAAATTCAATTAACTTTAATTATGTATTGAATATCAAACAATTCGCAGGAATGTAATTTGAATAAAGATGTTAATTATACAATTAATTTTTTCAATATAAACTACAATTAACTACAGTTTTAAAGTGAACTATAGTTATAGTTCAATTCTCTAAATTTGAGAAAGCTTAAAATGATGCAATCATAACTTTAAATAAATCTTGAGAATGGTGAACACATATATATATAGCATAAAATTTTTGCTTACTGTCGACAAAATCGCATGAGAAAACTGGATTGTCCTATGATGTGTTTAGAATCAAAAAAAAAAAATCAAAGAAATAATTTATGAAATTAGCGTTGATTCTGAAAATTGTTGACTACACATAAGTCATATGATTAGTTAAGTATTGATATTAAAAAGCCTTATGTATTTAAATCTACTAATGATATGTCGATCATTACTTTTAAACACATTAAATAATCATGTAGCTAAGGTTTGTGTAATAACAGACAAATTATTAATACAATGTGAAATAGACAATTATCTTAGTTTAATTATAAATATACAAGTATCGAATACTGTAATTGAATTTCTTAAATCACATAATCATGTTTACCAAAATTAGATCCAGACCCGAATCCATTATATGAGTGCTGCAGAGTGAAAACCTGGAACTGAATATTTAAGTTTTCACTCCGCAGCGCTCATATTATGAGTTATTATGAGGCATTTTGAGGTACCATGCTGAAATAATTTCGGCTAGCTATAATTTATGTACGTAAGTAACAGGCAATAGTAAGCGGAGATGTTAAGTAGTTCCCCTGTCCACCCCTAGCGGTTTTATTTAACTTTTGAAACTTTAGATCAATTTTTTTTTTCTAATAAAAGGTGCAGAGAATACTATTACAATTCTAACGGTAGTAAAATTATTAAAATCGGCCAGTGGATCGTGAGATATAAGTAAAAAAAGATTTATGATTCTTTAAAGTTTCTAATCTTTTTTTACGATCCACTGGCCGATTGTAATGATTTTACTACCGTTAGAATCGTAATAGTATTCTCTGAACCTTTTATTAGAAGCCCAAATAAGATTAGCATAGTAAAATAATTGTTGAAAAAACCTTGTTTTTATTTAAATTTACTTATAATCTTAACTACGATTTTATTGGCCGATTCTAAGTGGAAAGGTCATGTGACTTTTGAAATTGCCAAATCCCACTGATTGGCCTTTTACTGTAGTTCGTGTTATGTGACACAAACATAGATCACGTTACAGATCACTTTGACCCAGATCAAAATTAAAGTATGGTGCCATAATATTTACTACATATATTTTACAGAGTTTTTTTTAAAAGCCATAATTGTAATAATAGTTATTACATGTTTTTAAATTTTTACATGTAAGTATAAGATATTGGTCATGCATTAATAAATAACGTGAAATTTGTTCAACCGGGCAAATGGTGGCATATGATTGGCTGGCATGTGCTGCAAAGCAGCACGCGCCAGCCAATCATATGCCACCATTTGCCCGGTTGAACAAATTTCACGTTATTTATCAACATATCATGCAATCCTTATTTGGTACATTACACATGACTATGCTAAATTAAACTAGCAAGTCTGTTAATAATTTCATAAAGATTGGAACAACTATTTATATAACTATTTATATAACAGTATACAATCTGAAATTGTTGAATAGGGGACGCAAATCACTAACTCTTCCCAACGATCACTTGTACCAAGTTTTTTCTAAAAACAATTGCATTTTTCTTAATATTTTACTAAGTAAACCTATTCTGGCTGC